GCGCCCCCCCTGCAATGGCATTGCGCCCCCCCTAGGGGGCGCGCCCCACACTTTGGGAACCACTGTTTTAGGATGTGTCCTGTGGTTTTATTTATTTTGTCTGACAAATGAAAAAACAAGCTAATAAAATGTGGAACTTCCACAGCAGGATCTTAAGATATGCAAATGATTTTCATAAGCAGAATAAAGGAAGAAAATTTCAAATTCTCCAGTGTGTGGATTGGGGTTCCTTATATTTGAATAGGCATCAGAGGCCCGTTTCAAAAAGAAGGTTTAACAAACTCGGACTCAAATCTTTAACTCTTATTTGATCTATCCTGAGTTTTTGTTTTGTCATTGGCTGCTGTGAGTTAGTGTAATCAACTCTAACTACGTCCATTTAGAATTGAGGACGTGTGTAAAAAGTATGAAAAGCCATTATCAGTGGAGCTCTGATTCAATGAGTCACCATGACAACAGGAGACAGGAAGTACCTATTTCACATTACTGAAACTAGAGTTTTTGATGGAAAATTTAAAGAAAAAAAATTATTGGAGAATGTATTTAAAAGACAGCTGCAAAGGAGAGGGTAATGGCATAGGAGAAGGTTGCCGCTCAAGTTAATGCTTAAGTTTATATGTAGTCCAGTATGGCAGGTCGTTTTGACATCTATTAAAAATGCTCTCCTCTATATTGTTTGATTTGTAGATCACTAAAATAGGATACTTCCTGGTCAAAATAACATTGTTAATCGGAACTGTAATAATAGATAATCACAATAATATTAAAAAAACGAGTTTACTGGTTGAATGGTAGTATATTAATGTATTATATTTAGGTGATATCTCATGGGAGAAAAGTGCACACTTCAGCAGGTAAGGATGAAGTATAAAAACATTGTTCTAACAGGTAGGACCTGTGCATCGTCTCATGGGGTTTTATTTCTGTCTTCCATTAAGCTGTAAATAGGCATTAAGTGGCTGTGCAGTTGTTTTCTATAATGCTGTTATCACACATCAGTTTGCTCTCACTGATATCAAGTTCTGTGTTAAATATCTGTTAGAGAAGCCTGTGTTATGCTGCATACGTGAGGACGGATAAAGTGGTGAATGTTTAAAGATAACTGAATATAAAGGACATCTATATGCAGTATAAGAATCCTCTCTATATCTAATTCCCTGTGAATTTATTTTGTTCATATTCTAATTGGATCTTCATCAAAAGGACATGCTATATTTGTGTTATTAACACCTAATGTCTCTAACAGACCAAGTAAAAGATTTTCTTTTTATTGATTGCACAAAACTACAACAAAACAATTGAGGAAAACATGCTGCTGACCTCTTTGATCTATGGGGAGAATGTTTTGTACGGAACTAGTGGCATGTTTTTATGACAGCGGGCTGACAGGAAAGGGGGTATGAGAGAGGGGGAGAGACATGCGGCAAAGGACCACAGGCCGGATTCGAACCAGGGTCGGCCGCTGGGGAGCATGTTACTATGGTAACAGAAACAGAAGTTGTGTGAACTCTCTTTGTGAAACGGAAAACTCAAAGATTCCCTGATTTCAAATTTAATAAACTTAAGAGTTTTCAGAAAACCTGCTTTGTGAAACATGCCTCAGAATGGATTTTCAGTAAACAATAGTAACAGGAAAGAGTGCATGTTACTAAAAGAAAATCTAAACATGAGGAAAAAAATTACTGCACTGAAAATAAAGCCTGAGCACTTTCTGTGTGCCTGTTGCTATAAACATGACTAAAATCCATTAAAACTATAAACCATTTGTAGGATAACAAAACATTTACACTTATCTTTTCTCTGTGAATTCTGGTTTTAAATGTGAATGAACTTTTCTCAATTGCCATTTTTAAGCCTTAAATAAATGTTATTATTTAGAAATGTAACAACACATTTTAAGCTTAAGGTTGAACGTCTGTGTAAGAAGCAAAGCACTTTGGGAGCCCCCTTCTGGCCTGAGGAGGGAGGCTCTGCAGTATCCTGGTTTGCTGTTGCTTCGGACAGCAGTGATATCCACCAGATCAACTATTTCTTCATCAAATTGTTTTAGGCTAAAAGAATAAAACAAATTTTAAATGTCAGTCTGTACTGAAGCTCTATAGACGTAATAACTACCATCTGCCCTGTTCCCTTACTCTGATTCATGACTGATGGTTGAGAGGCCCGCTTCAGTCAGTGTGTCCCATGGCAGCTATGGCTACAATGTATATGTCAATCTAAGTATCATCAATGGGTAAATGACTAAGTGTTGTGGAAAGTGCTTTGGAGTCCTATAAATACAGGAGATTTTACTGTTCACTTCAGAATCTATGGACGTTAACTTCTTTTTCTCTATGAGTTACTTACTCTGTTTAATTGTGATGAAACCAAACTAATATCCCAACATTATCTCCTTTCCTTATGCAGAAAAAGGATCCATCACTTTATCCAACTCACCTCCCATCCTCCACGGACCGAGACTGGTTCTCTTAAGCCCATATCAACCTATTTTTTTCTCTATTTAGGCGTTAATGCAGGTTTGTTTCAGGCCTTAATGAATATAAATCCAATTTTAATGCTTAATTCATTTCAGAAATAATTTATTCATCCCAAAGGGAAATTAAATATAGCCATTGCCATTTTTTAAAGAGTTGTTGTGGATGTTAATAACTGTAGGCAGGAGGGATCTTCTCTAGCGGACTGTCCTGTAAAATCATCTCCAGAGATTCTAGAAGATATCCTTGAACTTCTTTTATCGGCTTGTTGAGCTTCTTTAAGTGATTTGATCTGATACTGGTTACCCCAGCAGATGATAGCAGGAGATCACACTCTCCACAACAGACTGACAGACATTACCTCTTATTTTCAGATTACAGCAAGTAAAACTTTATTGTGCTTGCTTTAATGTTTTAACCAAAGCTGACAGAGAACAAATTTTTTGAAACATCATGGCAAAAAAAACATTTTTCACATATACCCAATTTATTCAAACATCCAACTGCCATGCACATGGGCATTGTCACTTTAACTATAGCTCTGGTGAATTTCAATGGTGAAGTCCTCTGGAAAGCTTAAATAATTGTTGTTGATTGCAGATGTTTTTATTAGTTCCCATTAATTTTGCTTGTAAAGCGGGGAGATTGGCGCTAGGCTTACCGCACCGTGACGTCACTGCTGGAAGATGGCAGGAGTGAGGTGTTACAATATTTGGGCAAACATGGCCGTTCCCAAACTCAGTGATCGCGACGAAAATATTGTTATTATTTTGTTACTGATTAATGCTAAATTCATTAAATCGCCTTGAACGTATTAGTTTTAGGTATAAATAATGACTCATAGGTTATTCCTTGTTGACCGGACCTTTCCTTTAAGTTAATTTCCTTATATTTGGGAGGTATAGGGAATTTAAGAAAATAAGTTTGTATAGATCTGATTTATGTTGCTATATTTTTACATAATAGGGGTTCTCATTATAGGGCCTTGGAATATCAAATTGTTGACTAACCTGTTGATAGAAAATGTCCCACTTCCTCTTCTTACCCCCGTCCTTCCTTATTCCTTCCTAATAAGCCAGATGAACTGCACAATGGAACATTTTAGGAAACTCTTTTGACTGCAGATTCTTTGGATTCATTTAGTAAGGATTTATTTCATAAATGCTAATCATAAGATGTACCTTAGGCTTTATTCAGAAGCTATTGGTATGATTTATAAAGCCAGAATCTTCATCTCTTCATGAAAATAATATTAACTCACATGTATGTTATCATTTAATTTAACAAGCTTATTTATTTTAAACATACACTTATGCTAATAAAACTAATAAAATAGTCCATAATATCAGGGATTGAATTATCTTTTCAAGGTTTAAGCATATATATATTTT